AGGACTTATATTGAGCTCTTCTGATTTACACCAGAACTTCTCCAAACCATTAAAAAGCTTTTGTTTTCCTTGCTTAGGCTTTCAGAGGGAGGGAAATTAATTTGTATGATTAAGTCTGAACTATAATAAGTTTAAACACAGAAGTAGAAGATAAATATTTTCAAAAGCTGCTGTTATAATTGACATGCATTAAAGATGTGGTCAGGTACATTTGGAGAGACACCAAGTTTCTCTAAGATGGAAAGCAGAGTCAAAACCACACAAGAAATGCAATTGCTTAGAAAAATTGATCAACAGAGACAAGAAAATACATACTTGAATTATTTTTCAATAATTCTCTGTAACTATGATAACATCAAAGACAATTAAGCAGGTTAAGTGACATTTTATGTTGAATTTGAAAGTAATTTTTATTTTAATTTTGTAGACATAATCCTACATCTTCACCACTAGGAATCTCTGAAATTGTTTTCTTCACTATTTAAACTGCTTGCTTTTGATTTGATTTCAGCTAATAATTCTTAGAAGAGTACTCTCTGTTGACACAGCCATTGCTAAGTGTTGAATATAATGCGGACTTAAACGATTTTATTATTTTTGTAGTTATTTTTTAGTTATTTTAGTTATTTTTGTAGGGTTTTTTTGTAGTTATTTTTTATTGTTTTGTAGTTTTGTAGTTGTAGGGGATAATAATAGTAATAGTAATAATAATAATAATAATAATAATAATAATAATAATAATAATAGAAGACTGTGATGTGGAAATAAAAGACCTGGTGAGATACCTGATGATATGAAAGACTATGCTACATCCAGACGACCTCCATTAGATTTGACCTTCCAGTTGGGTTTGATGAAGGTATTAATGTCTTGTCTTGATTTATTAAAAAAATATGGATATTGATCTAGTACTGATATCCAACTGCGATGGACAAAAATTCTCAAACAGTTTAAGGTTAGAAAGTGTATGTTTATTCAACGCCAGGCAGCGTGCAGGATAGCTCCCAAATACACACCATGCCTTCCAGGTGATTACAGAGTCTTTTTATTCATACAAGTATTGAATACCAAAATACAAATACATATTCATAATTTTGGTACATCCCATTCCCCGCTTTGTATGCTGATTACTCCAAAAGCTATTAAGCATGCCTAGTTTGTTCCTTGAAATGGGTCGGTGGTCCCTTTCATGGGGAGGGGTCCCAAAATGAGGAAGTAAATGAAGTCTTCCTCGTTCTGACCTTTCTACCTTTTCAATGCAAATATGACAAATGAACTGTTGGTAGAACTCCCATTCCTTGTCTTCAATTGGTTTCAGAACAGAGGAGGCCCACAATTGTCTTATGTTCCTAAAAGCTCTTTGTCACTTTCTATATTCTTCATTATAAACCCAGCTAACTAAACATTGTGCTGACAAACAATCAATTATTGGTCAACTACTAACTCCTTACTTCATCAAGGCCTACTCATTTATTATTATTATTTTAATTAACTCTAGTAAGGCTTATTTCTAACTAAAATCTTAGCTCCTCTAGAATCTCTAAATTCCTTAAAGTTTATGTTTCAGTCTTCACTGTGTTTATACTGGCATTCCCTTTTCACATACATTTAGGTTATAGAGTTCCAACTAAATGTAAAAAAAAAAAATTAAACATTGCGCCGACACCAATGAAAATGGCGTAGGGAATGTGGGGAAAGCCTGTACCAATGGCTGTTTTTCATGGGGTCTCCCTATTATCAATGGCCTTCAACTGGGAGCAGCTTTGTGTCTGCTGCTGTTGTCACGGTGTTTGCGTCGTTTCGGTGTCCGCCAGACATTGACATTGTCCCTCTGTGGGAATTTGGGCTGGGAGAGCAGGGCCTGGGCCTTGCAGCCGTGGGGGGGACGGATAACCGGGGGCTGGTGACATGGAAGTAACGCGCACGGGGCTCTGCTGTGATCCTGCTCAGCCGCCGCACACAAATCGCAATAATTGGGCGCCCAATGGGCGCGAGCGGTGACGGCACCGACAAAGGGAACAGGAAATGGCCACGCGGCGTCATGTGCTCCTTCTCAAACTCAATTCTGATTGCAGCTGTCAGCGTGCCATTGTGGCTCTTGAATGTGCTGTTTTATTCAGCTCAGTGTGTGGGAGATATGTTTTTGAAACTGAAACAATGCTGGAAAATGATTGGCATGAGGTTAACTTTAGGCAGGCTGTAGTTCCCGAGATGGTTGCTTAAGAGACAGCAATATTAAATTATTGGCAAGGGGATTTTTGAATTACTTAAAATTTGTGGGTTTTGTCCATGTCTTGTCTTAACACTGAAGTGAGTTACAAATGCTGAAGATACAGCTGAGAGGACATATTCTCTTCAGTTTTTTCTACCTCAGTAACAAGTAGTCTTTCTTTCATCTATTTACTCTTCTTTAGTGCCATAGTTACATTTTTTTTAATGCATTAAGGATGATAGTCCATCTTTACTGGTTTCAAATGCATTAGGAAAAGATGTTAAAATAGTGCAGCAATAGAAAAAAATGCACTGAAGATAGCAACAGACATACCATTCTCTTGACTAGTGAGAACAGGCATCACAATTATTTCATCTGCTCTTTTACTGAAAATGTTGGGGTTTGTAGGCACAAAACTCTGTATTTCTCAGGATTCAGAGATTAATTTCTTATCTGTATGCAGGTAGCATGGATGAACTCTTCTTGCTTTAATTTGAGAAAAGGTCCTCAGAATAATTAAATGTATTTTTCTTCAAAGTTTGTGTATTTATTATGTATTCTTTAGCCTTTAATAGGGTTAGTATTGGCTTAGAGAGTGAAACTGTAGTAATTTTGGACTCACAGTTCATGAATTCATAATTTTAACACTTTGCTAATGATTTTACTATATATGTATTCTAGCTGAACTTTCTATGTTGCACATTCTCCTAAAATGGAAAGTTATCTTGTTTTTTTTCTCTTCATGAGATTATAAAACAAACAGAAATGTGTAGTGCTAGACAACAGAGAAGTAAAGTTGAACATTTATATATATATACATATATAAATAGGTATGGAATATGTCCCAACTTTGTTTTTAAAATAATTTTAATTACAATAGATCACAGTAATCATAGGTGCATGGTGACTCATTTTTGTGTGTTCACATAAAAACATGTACTGAGCAGCCTTAGATTTAGATTTTTAAAACTATTTGAATCCATCTTCTTACATGGCATCTTTGAAAAGGTGATATTTGCATTTGAAAAGGATGAATCAGAAATAAAACCAGATTAGATAGAGACAGATATTCTTTCTCCTCCCAAGTGTCTGGAGTCATTTACTGTAGCCATTAACATCTAATATGGCTTCAGGTGAAGTGTTTCCTCAATAAACTTGAGTAATATTTTTATTTAAGGAAAGGAGAAAGGATCACAAGTTGAATGTTACAAAGCTTTTTTGTTTGTTAAAGCCTTCATGCATGCTTACATTGGTTCAGAATTTTTTTTATTATTATTAATTTCATTAATGAAAAAAAAGTTTGGGATGCAGCCCACCTAAATCTTGCCCAAGTAGGACCTTTCTTTTTTTTTTTTTTTCTCCCCTAAATCTTTTCTAAATCCAAGACAAAAGCATAGTTTTAATGTTGTCTAGCCCTGCCTAAACGTATGCTGAACTTACAGAAGTGTCTCCTCTCTAGGATGAAAATTTGATAAATATTAAAGTAATTTTTGCTTCTGCATGCTCAGAATGGCATCCTTGGGCAGAATGGAGAAATTTAGGCAGAATGTCCTATTTAGGCTTCCTTTTTAATTCCAGAATTTAGTAAATGAAGAAATAATTCTGCTTAAATTAAGTGGAAAAATTGGAAGTGCCCAATGGATAAAGCACCCATCCCAGTTAGTGAGTTGGTGCTAGTAAGTTCTGAGTTCTGCTGAGGCTGAGGATGTTTTATCTTCATCCTAAGGGTCTGCCTACACCAAAAAACCTCATGTTGACTCCAGATGGTGGTGAAGTTTATAATTTGTACATAGAATAGGGACTGAACCAGAAATTGTCCTTTCAAATTCTAGCAGCTTCCCTTCCTGCTTCTAACAACCAGATCTGACTGTCTTCATCCAGAGCTAGAGAGGATTTTTCTTTAGATGGTTTCTTACAGAAAGATACTATCAGGATAACCATATCTGGAACTTCTGTCAACAGCCATTGAGAGATTTGTAGTGTTTGGCTGCACAGGGCATAACAGCAGAAATTCTCTTCACTTGTGTGGTATTTAGCTATTAGATATTTACAGAGAATTGCATCAGCAAATTCTGTGATCTAAAGTGTTACTAGAACATGTAAAAAAACCAGGTAACAAAGTAAAAAGCTTGTAAGATGTACAAATCAGGTAACAATTATGTTTGTGATTATATCATTATTTCAAGTATAATTACTGAGAGATTGGAAATGCACCTACTTCAGGAGTAGTCGCTGTAATTTGTCTACATAGTTGCACTCACCCCTTGTTGAAAAGTTCTTTTTTGCAACATTTAAATATAACTTAATTTGACTCCGACCTGTGTTTCACTAAAACTTGCAGTACTAGCTCCTCAGTGTTCGAAACCTTAATTTTTTATGGGGAAAACAGAGAGGGGGCATTGTGCTGTGGATGGGGAGGACATGGAGCAACCTTTCAACCAGCTAGTGGGATAATTTCCATAGCTGTCCAAAATAACCCTTTTTTATCTATTAAAAATGGTTTGCAACTAGTTAAGATTCTGCTAAGACCAAAGGCTTTCAAAATGTCCTTGCATGATTTACTGTCTTCCTTCTATTGCAAGGAGGTTTCATTAGCAAAATTCCATTAACAGGTTTTCATACGGAAGAGAATCTGTACTTCACTCGTGGGTTCCAACCAAGTGAGGCTTCTTTTTTCTTTTTTTTTATAACGTTGTTTATCTAGGACTCATTTTTGCCAAACTTTCAAGTTGTTAAATAGTGAATCTTTTTCATTCTGTTTTTCTTTGTTTGTTTCATTATTGATCAGGTTTTACCTGGCGAGACGATTACACACAGCATGTTATTGGTCAGGAACTCTCAAGCATTCACAAAATCCACAGCAGACGCCCTGATGTATTTGCATCTGAAGGATCTGACACAGGAAGGTAAGTCTTCTGCAGTGTTTTTGCTTGGGTTTTGGAAAGGTTTGCAAATGATAAGAAAGAGGTTGGCCCAGAAGCAGAATTAAAAAAATTTAAAAAGCCACTATTTATATGATAAAGGCATCCACCAGTGTTCAGGGTCCAGAATGAATTAAAACCCTGGACCTTGTTCTTCTGTTTATCATCAAGTTAAGGAACTACATTTTCTATTGTTAATTGAGGTGTCAGAATTCAAAACATCAGGCCTTGCATTCAATTTATGCACTCTCTACAGTCAGTTTGGCCATCCCTACTTATGACTGGCTTAAAAAACCAAACTTATAGTAGTAGCTCAGCTACAGGAGATATTTTATTCTGGACTAAGCATTGAATGACATTCTGAGTGACTAATCATATTTTCAAAGTCAAATTCTTCCAAAACATACCTGTAATTGATTTGAAGTCCATAGATTCCTAGTGATAGTTGCAATTTTTTTCAGGAAGGAGATACCCCTGTGAGTTCCCATGACAGAAAATAATGCTGAGACATGGTTTAAAAGGTATTGAGGGGGTGACTTTGCAGTAATTGGTTTCAACACACATCAGTAATTCTGTAGAACCTGTAATATGGTTGTAGAACCTGCAATTATATCATCTTTGTATACAGTTGCACATATAAAGAGACTCTTTTCCTGGTCTGTTGTGTCCTGCAGGATTTTAAGTGCAACCCAACCACACAAGCCCCAGAATGAAATTTTAGGAACCATTAAAAATGTAAATTTTCCTTTCTCTTACGTAATTTTAAGAATTATATTCTCAAAAGTAGTGAAATTGAAAAAAAGGGCTTTTTGTTAAAAAAAAAATTCATCATAATGGCATAAAATTGAGCTTCTAGTCTTGATGGGCAAAATATTGAATGTTGGAATTCAGATCTTCCTGCACTGCAGTATGTGGTTTGCATATACTGCAAACCATTTATTTTCTAGATTATTTTATTGTTTTTTTCTGGAAATGAAGACACTTCCCAGTGTCTTCAACTGTTTTTGCCTCCGTTTGTTTTGATTTAATTCAATTCATAGTCTTTGACCCTGTATTTCACATGTTTGCTGATTCAAAAGCATTTCTGAAAATCACAGCACCATTTCAGAAGTGCAGTAAGGTAGAAACTTAATGTCTAAAGAAGATAGTGATCTAAAGATTACCATAAAGGTGATAACAACATGTGGTTGAATCCATAAACATGTTTTCACTGCTTAGATACACAAAATGTCAGTATTGAATGGATTACTCTCAGTAGATGGTATCAGAAATGATCTTCAATATCTTCTGGGGATTTTTTTTTTAAGAGAGTACCTAAAATTTTTTATTCATGAGAGTAAAATAAAATAAGCCAGATTTCCATTATATCAAGACCATATTCTGCAGTGTTCCAGATTTGTAGTTATATAAAAATAAAAAATATAAGAAGACATTAAAAAATTATTTAAGGTTTAGGTTGAAAACAAATGCTCACTTTTAAGAATTCCTGTTTTTAACAAGTTTGAGATGTTTTACATTTTTAACTATAACTATGTGTTAAAAAAAATCTGCAACATTTTGTATGTTGATACTTCAAGAACATCAGAATTTCAAATGTGTTCACATAAAGCAGTTCCTATTGTGGATAGATTTTCTGCAGTCACCAAGCTGTGCTTCTGAAAGCATTATCTTATGTGCCAACAGTTTAAAGCATTAATTGATTTTTCTAGTTGTCCATTTGCAACGTGTTTTGTAGGTCAGAGAACAGTAGGAAACCTGGTGTCTTGTAGATTCTGATGAAGTGTGTTATATGTTCAGTGTGCTCTGTGTGCTTGCTAAAATCTTATCAGATAATAATTAAATAATTTAAAAAGCAACTTAGACTAGGTATCTAATTATCAAAGAAACATTATGTCAGGAAGACCTTTTATTAAGGCTAACGTGTGTAATAAGACAATATGAAGTCATACTAATGAGTCATTAATCCCCACAGAGCTGGTGAGAGCAAGAAAATAGACTCAGACACTTGAAAGGTAAATTGACTTAGGCTAAATTAGTGCATATGAAATCTGATGAAACAGAAGACATGGATTTCATCTAAAAAAAAAATGCTGAAACTGGGAGTTTGATTTCAAGATGAAAGTTCTTTCTTTGTTGGCTAACTGGAGTGTACATGGTATTTCCTGGGTCCTTATTAAATTTCAAAAAACCCTCTCTTGAAAGAGGGCTCAAGATAAAGGAAAAAAGTCCATTCTGCACAGAGGGAATAAATGTCAGTTGTGTTCATTGGTGCAATTAGGCAAAACCACAAACGTTTCCAGCAAACTTCAATGTATGAAATGGGGCATAGTATTATTTCTGTAATAAAACCTTCATTAAGTCAGTAATAAGATACTCTCAGCATTTAAAAGGGAGAAATTTATTCTAAAATGTGTGGTTTCTATTAATTTGGAACATTCCAGAAATAGCAGAGGTGAAGTGATTTAGATATCTCCACAAAAAAATATTCTAAAATGATAGATTTTGTAGGAAATACATAATTATTTCTGTAGATAAATAATTATATGTGGTATTGTCCTTACACTCTTAAGTTAATTTTATGCAAAGTCATCTTTCAGAGCAAATTAAAACTGAAAATATTTCCAAATAAGGGCAGAAAAAAGGACTCATTTGACAGTTATTTCTTCTACTCACCAACTGCTTTTATATATTTGTCTTCCATCCATTTTCCAGTATAACTTTGTCATATTTAAAATAAATATTTTAATTTAGTTGCTATAATTGGTCAGTTAAGGCATTCCTGAGTTAACAAGTTGATACCGTGATGAACTAGAAAATTTTTTTTAAATCTTTCAGATGTATTCATAGTACCTTATTAAAGTTGTCATCAAATGAAATAGAAAGCTTTGTATTCTTTTACATTTTAATTGTTTAAATGTTTATAACATAAAATATTATATCTAACGTGGAATGTATATATGAGTACAATTATTGTCTCCATATGAAAAATGAGAAATCTTAGATCCCAGATTTGACTTTTAAGACCAGTGACAGTGACTATATATTGTAAATAATGGTTTGAAAAGCCAACCTAAATACTGTCCTTTGTCTGTGCATTCAGTTCCCATCAGCTCCAGTGGAAATATCCTTTGGGCAGAATTTGGTCTGTGTTTTGTATTTTTTTTTTTTTTTTCCTTTTCCATTCCTTTTAAAATTAGTGAAGAAAGCAGAAGATAAGTGTTGGAATTAATCAGTGAATGAAAGGTGAGTGTTGGCAACTGGGATCCTCCCTATGAAGAGAGCCTGTTTGGATTAGTTCATCTCTACTGAAGCAGCAAGCACAGTGCCCAGGTCTTTCTGAAACTCCAGAATAGTTTTGGTCTGGCTTTAAGCTGAAAAGAAGGTGGATATTGTTACCTACATGTCCACACTCCATCAGAAGGCAGAATTTAGACCTCTGGAATAAGAAAAAAATGCAAACAGCATGAGAAGGAAGCAAGACTGATGGTAAATTATATCAGGTTTGCTATAGTGCTCTGTGCAGTAACCCTTCTTTTTCCTGGAATTTGTGTCCCTGATGGGAACCTGCTGTTATACACTGGGGAGAAGTGGAGGATTTTTCTGGTGTTTCAAAGTGAGCAAACCTGTGAGCACTGTTGGTTGCAGTGCCACCACAGTAAATTAGAATATTAATTACATCTATTAGTATTAAATTAGTAGGGACACACATTTGGTACAACTGTGAGCATGGAAGGAAGTCTGTTAATTTTTGATTAAAGTAATATAATTAAACCCCAGCTTTGGAAAATGATATAATGCTGCTCTCTCAGGCTGTGCCTCTACATTAGTGCCAAGATGTGGGTTGGTAGAATAAAATTTTATTTATAGTGGCACAAAGATGTTGAAAGTCAAATTCATTCACTGAGCTGTAAAGCTCTTCCACCTGGAATTCTTCTTCACTGGAGAAGTGTGTGGGCATGTGAGCAGGAAATGGTGATACCAAAAGGTGATTTCCCTCAAACAGCTTCACTCACAGGGAAGGAAGAGGGCTGGGAACTTTCTCTCTGCTTTCTTGCACAAGGAATGAAATAGTTACCGATGCTGACATTTAAATTATCATCATCATTTATGTGTTGTTGAGATAGATGAGGACAGCTGGCAATAATTCAGATTCATTGCACACAGCACTCTGAATCCCATATAAACACCTCCACACTGCCATCATTTAATCTCATTTCTAGCTTTTCTTTGCAAATGTCACCAAAATCTGTCTAAACCACTCAGGAAGTACCACTGTTCTGTGAATCCCAGGAACATTAGAAGATCAGAAGAGATATTCTTCCATCTCATTATTCCCTTTTCAAGCCTTTCACTGGTGTTTACTTGCTCCATTATTTCTGCATATTGAGTACTCTTTCTTCTATTCTTTACATTGGTGGAGGGCCAAATTGGCATTGAATCTCATCATCACCCAGCAAGTTTTTTAAATCTTAGAACCATCTCATGTTTCTTTAGGGTGCAATTTAATCATGTGCATTTTCTTTTTACAGGCATTTTCTTTGTTTTTTAATATGGCTTTGCCTTGATATAGCATTTTATTTGCTTTACTTTTATTTAATTAGATTCATGAAATAAATTGTTAATAGTGCAAGGTTTCTTGACTTTTGCTGAGAGATTGAATTTTCTATACTTTTGTGGTTGCTAATCTTTTGAGTGACTTACCTGTTATGTATTGAACTACACTGGCTTGCAATGCCTTTTTAGTTGGCCACTTTGTACATTGGACAGGCTGGTAACTTTATTTTCCATGCTTTTGCTATGCAGGACTTTGGGATGGAATGAAGATAATGAAAGAAATTATGATGTGGAAAATAATGTCAACTTGGCCAAGTCTCTTCAGCAATACCTTAAATATCTCAGAATTCTCTCCCAGTCTGCATCTAAGAATTTGTATCCATGGAAGACAAGTGACAAAGCTTCTATCAAGGTAGTATTTTTAATGTGGTCCTTACATTATGTGATTTTGGCTTCCTTTTTCTCCAAGTTCTCATTTTTGAAATTTCCCCTCTGTCTGAAGACCAGATATTGTTATTTACTCCAATTGATTATCATAAGTGCACTAAATTTTCTCAAAATGAATCACCTTCAGCATTGTAAATGCTTCAGCTTGTCAAATCTGGAGCATTTTACCTTAATTAGGGATGGATAGCATGTGATGAAGAAGGAAGAGTGGGATAAAGGTGGTAGCATCTTGACTGGCTGATCTGAAACTGCATCTGAGCTACTCTCCAAAAACGTGGCTGAGCTACCATGTGAATTCTTGCTGGTGTTTGTGCTGCTTAGGCTACAATTCATATAATCTTTAAGCAGATTTTAAAAATGGGTCTGCTAAATTGTGCCTCACATTTCCTACTTCTTATTGATCATAAGGAAGCCCACTGTGACCAGTTAAGGTTCATATGTATACATTTTAAATGTACAGATAGCTGGGCAGATAAATCACAACCATTGAGTATTGACTATGTCAAAAACTACAGACATGCCTATTTGAGAACTAAAGCGGGTTTATTTTTCCCTTTCTAGAGAAAATCAGTCTCACTCTAAGATGCAACTTGTTAAATTTATTTAAATTATTGGATGAAGGGGTTCCATACAGCAGGCCCTTATTGCCCTGTAGATTTTGCTCAAAAAGCAAAGCATGCACTCTTTGATTTTAAAGAACTGGGCTGCTGTTGCAGCAATACTTTACAAGAAATTGCCTGTGCTATTTCAATGCATCAGTATAAATGAAAAATTTGCCAAAAATATACTAAAGTTTTAGGAAAAATGTCAGGTGAAGAAACTATAGTGCCAAAGCCAAACTGCTTTAATTTAATTCAGGGACTAACTCAGAGACACCCAATCTGCAACAACTCCTGGCAACAGCACCAGTTGTAGCAACCATTTGGTCATGGTTGTTATTCTTGTCAGAAGCACAATGTCCCAGATTCTCACTGACTTATAGACACTACTTGTGATTTATGGCACATAAATTTCATCTGGGGCAAGAGGAGCTTCCAGGCAGTGACAAGGCAGCTCTGTGGAGGGATCAGGAACCTCCTGATGAGCTGCTTGGTGCTGCTTTTCCTCCACTCTCCTCCTGGCTGCAGTGAGGATGCTCTGTTTTGTGTCACTGGCTTTCAACAAAAACTTGCTCAAGAAGTATTTCAGTGGGTCTGGTGTTGTCATGCAAGTTCATAAATAATCCATATGGCTGAGACCTTCTGTGGGGAAGCCTGCTGTGATAACACCACCCACCAACCTTATCGAGTGTTGCCATGGAGATGTGTACTCTGAAGCCTGGGGGAGTGGGATAAAGAGGAGAAAATCTGGGAATGAAGCACGTATAGGAGCAAACTGTACACCTCTATTTACTAAGGAGCATTTTGAAACAACAGACATTGAGTCAGATGTGTTACCTATAATTGAAAGTCAAAAAAAAAAAAGGAAAAAGAAAAATTATTTTAAAAACTAATGATCAGCCGTGAATTTCAAATGATCCTGGAGATGTTTCCCTATCCTTGGCAAATAAAATGCAACCGCTCTTCTTGAAAAAGCAAGAGGGACGTAATATTTTTATCTTGATTTGTTGTTTTGTTAGTGAAATAGCATTTAAACAAGAGACAAAACCAGAATTTTTGCTGCTCCGAGAAACAGAAAAAAACTCATAAAATTTAAAAAATTTGAAAAGAGAAGGTGGAAAAGTAACTGGATGAGCTACCTCTAATATGCTTGTACCATTTGAAATTGAAGATAGCTACTTTGTGCACTTTAATTGCAAGCTTCAGCAAAATATTGGTACCTTATTTTTGTGCTTAATATGTAGATTACAAACCCACATTAAATAACTGTAGCAAGATCTGATCTTTTAAACTTTTTTGTCCTTCTCTAATTAAAATAAGCACAAGACAGAGGCAATTTACACTACTTAGAACTGCAGCTTTTAGGGTTTGCCCTTCTCAAAAATAATTTTCTTTTACCTCTGTCACTTCATTCCTGCTGTTGGGGAGTAGGGGCTATAACACTACTCTGGTTGCTTTGATACCTTACGTGCTGTGAAACGTGTCTGAATCTTGCAGAAATTTAGTGCTTCTTGACAGAATTCCTGTATGGATTCAGGGTCCAAGCCTGACATCAGAGGTCTCTGGCCAAATGTAAAACAAAGAGATAAAAGATAAAGAGGTTTGAAAATGTTCCTTATACTCTGAAAGTGTTATTTTGTATATTCACATGATTATATTTTACAAACTTTCAGTCTTCAGTTGCCGTACCGTCTTCCACTTGTATTATCAGAATAAAACTACAGAGCTTCAAAATTACTGAATAGACATCACACACAGAGTTATGAAAAAAGTTGTAAAATAAAGCATCACAAAATTTAAAGCAGGTAACTCTTTTTCTATTTCCCTTGCTCAAGCAACTGTCAGCTTGAGGCTTATACAGCAGTGACAGAAACACTACCAGTAAGCTTAAATCATGTGATTGACAAAATTCCTATGGCATCTACCATTTACTGCAAGAGCTTCTTCAGGTGATTTTTGAAGCACTTGAATTTCATCACTAACTCAGAATTATTTCTCAGTATACAGGCAGTATCTACTGCAGGCTGTAATCTAGCCATCTGATAGTGACTCTGACAGTAAATAGAGGCAAATCAGAAGTTTGGTGTGTCTTGGTTACAGTTGGAAAGAATATTTCACTTTAGTTCAGCTGAAAAGAGTTGTTCAGGAAATGGGCACTTGGTGGCATTTGTTACTCAAGCATTAGCTAGTGGGATTTTGTGTTTGGTTTTCTTGGTCTTCCCTACACACACTTTAAGAAAGGGCTTTATGAAATTTTTACCATTCACAAAGTCTTTGTGAGTCTTTGTGATTCCTTTCTACTAAACCTGGATGCAGTATGGAAAATAACAAATACCCAGGCATATATTTTAATGAGAATTGGTTTATCTTAGCTACAGAGGTGAGAAATGCAGAGGCTTCAAGTCATGTGTGAATTGTCCCTTCTCCACTCCAGCTGGAACAAACCCCTCTCATATCAAAACACCCAAACCCCTGAAAAACCCACTGCACTTTTGACATTCCTACAGAAACTGAGGCTCAGGGTTTTGTTGGATTAGGAAGACAGCACATGGCTGGTATTGCTAAAGCTCAGAGCTGCAAAGGAGAACTTGCTGCCTTTGCTGCTGGTGTGTACGCCTGTGTTTGAATGGTTATGGGAGATTTCATCTGACCAAGAAAAGTTTTACTTATCACAGAAAGAGAACTTATTTGAAGCCTGCCCCAAATGTACTTTCTGCTGGACAGGCTGTAGGAATTAGGAAGTTGCCATCACACTTGTGCTGTGGCTGTATTTCTTGTTGCAGGAATCTCTGCCCTATGATTTGGGTTTTGTGGCTTGAAGCAATTCATGGAGATGCTTTTTCTCCTTCCCCTGACCTGGTCCCTGATGACTTCAGATGGGGTTGGTCCCACCTGCTGCTGAGGTTTTCGTCAGGCCAGTGTGCCATTCAGGCCCTTGTGGGTAGGATGGGGAGAAGAGAAAATTATGGCAGATACATTAGGGAATTTAATGAATTTTCTGTTGTTACTTTTCTTTGTGTTTTAGTTGCATTCATTTTCATGGTAGACTTCTTCTGTAGTTATTGTGATTATAGAAATCTCTGCATCTTAGGTATTCTTATAAATTTTAAAGTAAAGATTTCTGTGAAAAAACCAAAACAAAACAGAATCTTTACATCAAAGAAGGGGCTAATAAAGGCCTTTTCAAATCATGAGGGGGAAAAGAAACAGGTAAAGTGATGGGTTAGTGCCAGAGAGTTGTGGCTCAGTAGTGGAATTGTGCTGAAAGGGGAGAAGCTGCAAGTAAAAATTATATAAATTATATAAACTAAAAATTCATATATTTGCCGGCCTAAAAAATCAATTGTTTGAATATTTGTAATTGATCACCAAAAGAACTAAGAGATGTGGTAATTATTGAACAGAATTATTATTTATTTTAGAAAATCTGAGTGCATGAGTGCTCAAAGACATGCTTTGAGCTTCTCTGCAAATAATAATTATTGTGATTAACTAGTAAGAAATTACTTAGTCATTGCACATTTTAACCTTGAGCTTTAATTCAAAAAAGCAGCACCTTTATTTATCTAACACTGATTTAAATACAGGGAGGACTAAATGAAGTTCATAAAAATTTTTAAAAAAAAAAAAAAAAAAACTTCTTGCAGTGTATATATTTAAACTGTTTGTATAAAGGTGAAATTTAATATTTCATATATAAGAGATTATGTATAAAAATATAATTCAGCTGTGCTTGAACACTTTAATAAAAATATTTCTAGAATCATTGATAAAGGAATGTGTCCTTGAAGCTGCAGAATTGCCTCTCTATTGGCATAATTATGCAGTGATAGCTGAACATTTCCCAAGCATTGGTGGATCCATTTGCCTGCAGCCATTACAAAGTGGGGAAGAGTAAATGCCCCTACTTCACAGACAGATTAGACAGATTTTCTGAGGTTATGCAATAATTTTTTGGTAAAGCATAAACTAAAAGCTAAACCACAAATCCCAGAAAAGTATTTAATCTTTCAGATCTTTCTCGTCTTCATGGCTCTTATAGCAAAATGGAAATAATAAATCCTCCTTAAAAAAATCAACAAACACACATACACAAAAAGCCCAAACTAACCAATGAGAAACCCCACAAAATCCAGAACCAAACCAAAACAACCCAACAAACAAACCTCCATAGGCACTGGAGCAGAAATCATTTGACCATATAAAGATGTCTGTATTGGTGCACATCAGACTAAATTCATTCCATGATCAATGGAGGGAAAAAGAGAGTTTTCAAGTTGTGATTCATCTGTTTTAATTTAAATATAGAAAATGAGATGCTGTAATTTCCATCCTCATGGCCATTCTGCAGGAATCTGGTGTAGAT